TGCTACATAATTCGGGTTGTAAGTAAAAACTCCGTTATATCCGGTTTGGAATTATGTTTCGGGTGGTTTTATCACTAAAATAGAACGGATATTTCGAAGTTTTTCTAGAAAATTAATATCCCATATTTTGAGGTTAATTAATGTTATGCCCAGATTTGTGTGTTTCAAAGGGTTGGTCCATTTTCTTTGCCTCTGGACCAATTCATCGCCTCTGGTCCAATTCATCGCCTCTGGTCCATTTTCATTGCCTCTGGACCAATTCATCGCCTCTGGTCCATTTTCATTGCTGTTGGACCAATTCATCTCCTCTGGACCAATTCATCGTCTGTGATCCATTTTCATCGCCTCTGGACCATTTCATCGCCTCTGGTCCATTTTCATTGCCTCTGGACCAATTCATCGCCTCTGGACCAATTCATCGCCTTTGATCCATTTTCATCGCCTCTAGTCCATAGGGGCTCTGATTTTATTCCAAACTTAGTCATTCAGCAGCCTCTAGTCCATCGTCTGCCTCTGGTCCATCCATAAGGGCTCTGGTCTTCCTCCATACTTAGTCATTTCAGCAACATCTTCATATTTTCCATTCTTGGCCCCGATTGCTTTGATAAAACTTTTAGAATAATTAGGATCAATTTTTAGTCCTAACAATCAATAAATTATATTTTATTGGAGATTTTATATAATTGGTAATTTGGGGATTTGCTCAAGCAAGATGTTACATTTGAAGTGTACCCGTCCAAAGGGTTGGACGATAACGTCGTTCACCGCCCAAGCCTAAGCGATAACCTTGCTCATCAGCCAAGGCGTGGGCGATATGCCAAGGTTCATGCCCTCTCCGCCTAAGGCATGGATGATGAGATACCACGGTCTATGTTCATCACTCATCACTCGAGTACTTGTTCATTCAACTCTTTGCACTTATTAATTGTGTTTAATGGATTCCGTTGCCCGTATCACCTTGTGCTTAATGATTAAGGTGGTATTTTATCTTTTTTGCCCTTAAGAGCATCTTACAGCAAACTTGGTCAAATTTTGACTTTTCAAGTTAAAGTTTGACTTTTTGGTCAACCTATTTGGAGCTTATTGATTAAAGTCTTATTTGAATAGATTTTTTCAAACTGTTTGATTGATTTCTATATTTGATTGGACTAGTTAGAGTTTGAGTATCTGCAATCGTCACTCTGGAGTTTTTCTACAAGAGGCTAGACCATTGAGTGCCTTCACTCATTTTTTTTGACTTGATCAATCAAAGGTCTTGAAAGTTTGCAATCAGTGTTCTGGAGGTTCCGGAATTTATCAGATCTTTAAGTGTTCTCAGTCATCCTTCTAACCTTATTAATTAGAGGTTTGATCGTTTACAATCATTGTTCTAATGTTATTGTTGTGATCTAGAGTTCTTAATGCTCATAATCACTATTCTGGCAGGGAAATTTGGACCTGATTCTGGTTATTCAGTCTTTTGAAAGTTTGAAGAAAATCGACTTATTTATCTGGGTTGACTTGTTGTTCTTGAAGCTATATGCTTATTGTTGATACTTCTCTCCAGTTCTTAATGTCAAAGGTGTTTGCTTTGGTACTTCAAACAAATGTTGTTACCCCTATTTATGAGCCTACCAAGATCAATATTTTAAGCTGAATGCTTATTCAACTCGTGGTTCACTAAAAGATTATTTGTCATAAAACTGTTACCCCAATTTATTTGTTCTGTTCTGTCTAGTTCTATCTTACCAAACGTTGAATAGTTGTTCTATCATGTCCTGTCCAGTCATGTCCAGTCATGTCCTGACACCAAACACATCCTAAATCTCAAAATAATTTGAGGACTTTGTTTTGATAACTTCAGTCTTCATCTCATATTTGAAAGATCAATGGTATTTGTAAATATTAAAAATATCATAATATTTGGTTCATTTTAAATGTATTGAAGAGACGATTATAATGATATAATTTATAAAAATATAAACGTTTTTTAAGTATATTTTTGTTAATACATAGTTATACATGTTAATATGAGAAGATGTAAAATGAAAAATAGGAAAAGAATAGATATAAAGTAAATTAAATAACTGATTATAAAGATATGAAGTGTAATTTAGTAATAAAAAATAATTTTATTTGAATTATCATATTGAACATGGAGGTTGTAAATGTTAAAAAATTGTACATAATGGATCAAAATTTATATACCTTAAAAATTCAATAATAATCGTTTAACATGTTTTATAATATAATATAGATAGTTTAGATAGATAAGGGTGTAAATTAAAAATATAAAACAAATTAAATATAAGTTTTTAAAATAAGTCACTACATATTTATGATATTTAGTAATATGATAAAATTTAAGATATTCAATATTGATTCATTTCAAATATGTTGATGAGACGATTATAATTATATAATTTATTAAAAAATGTATTTCATAATAATTTTAGTTTATATACGATCATTTATTTAATATGATAAAAATGTAAAATAAAAAATGGAAAAGTAACTGGTATGAAACAAATTATATAACTAATTACAAGAGTATAAATTGTAATTTACAAAAAAAAAATTGATCTTTAATATTATCTTGGGATATGAAGATTTAAAGTTTAGGGTATGTTGAGTTTGTCATATATATATATATATATATATATATATATATATATATATATATATAGAGAGAGAGAGAGAGAGAGAGAGAGAGAGAGAGAGAGAGTTGTGTTCTTAGTAGTGGGAGAAGATGACTAGAAAGGTAGCTGATTGATGAAGTAACAGATTGGGTTAATGTTTTTTCCCCTCCTTAAATGCTTGATATACTTGTACAAATATCATCTAAGCTTGTACCACAAAAAATTCTTAAAAAAAATGGAAGGATCAACAGGAGCGAGTGAGGAACACTAATGGAGATTGGCTAACGGAGTTAGTGTAAGGGACCAACAGTTAACAAATTTAAAACAATAGTGATTATACTTATAATTATTTCGTTTTGAGGACCTGATCCTTTCTTTTTATATAACTACAAGGATAAAATTTGTAATTTACTCTAAGTAAGTTAATGAAAATGAACTAGTTTTTTGGTAACTAATACGAACAAAAGTCATGTTTGTTTAATTACGTTCGACAATGTTTCTCTGTTTGTGAGTCTTCTTAGTTATTGAACTTATGGGCATAGGGCCTTCTTGGCCTAGGGTTAGGACCCAACCTTTATGGGTTTGGATTCGGAGTCAGGGGTTATGATTTAAGGGTATTAGTCATATGTTAGGGTTTAGGGTTTCGGGGTTTGAGATTCGAGTTTAGTGTGTAAGGATTAGGGGTTTTAGGGTTATGCGTAACCATTTTTATCTATCGCTTGTTTTGGACCTTACAAAATCACAATTGACAGTTATTGTAGCAAGAGAAACATTTGTGAAGAAGATGAACAACACACCCACCAATATATGAATGCCAGAAATTGTATCAAGACACAAAATAAACTTAGGACCCTTAAATTGTCCTTCCTATGAAACATTGCTTGAGTTGTGAACTTGTATGATTAAACATGAAAATATTAGCTAAAAGAAGTCCCGGGACTCGACCTTGAACCACACAACAAAGGTGCTAATGGAAAGGACACATGCTCTCCATGTAAAAACTTGATAATGATACGTCATATGTGCATATGTATCTTCAAGAAACAAATAACATATACTTAGGACTCCATTTACTTGTATAAGTTGAAGCCTCACGAGCAACCACATGCATGTAAGATCTTAGGGGTGTTCAAAAATACCGTTGGACCGCTCAAACCGACCGAACCAAGTCAAACCAGACCGTTTTTGGCGGTTTGAGCGGTCTGGCGGTCCGGTCTGGTTTGGAAAATAGCAAAACCGGGCGGTCCGGTCCGGTCTGCGGTTTGGAAACTTTTTGGGCGGTTTGGACCAAACCGACCGCCAAATATATATATATTTATCTATTTTAATATTAGCAAGCCCAACTTTTTTAATTTATTGACTATGATCCAAATTAACATAATCAAAATCGACGACTAAAACCATTAAACCATTGAACATATCGACACATTTGATATTGACGGTCTACAAATTTTGAAATCCCTCAAAAACTCTATCAATCTATTGATATTTCTAATCCATGGTTTGATTTCGGCGCACATTATCAAGACATCAACCAAGTGATTCAACCAACTTAGATTTGGCTTCTATTTTGTTTGGTCAAGACTTAAGAATTGAACCATTGAAGGTTGTGAAGTCGTGAATTTTGTTACTCAATACTCACAGTAAAGTTGTAACTTTGTTAATTTATTTGTTTTCTAATATGTTATATCTTTATATGTTTGTACTTTGGATTGCCTTGACTTTGTATTCAAGAGCTGCTTAATTATTACATTTATTTGATTATATTTTTTTTTGTTAAAATGGATACTTAATCTAAAATTCTAAATTATATATATACTTTTTAAGTTTAATATAAAGTCTATTAAAGGCCCAAACCGCCTAAACCGGTCAGACCAGACCGCTTTTACTTGGTCTGGTTTGACCGGTCTGGGCACTTGATGTCAAACCGCTCGGTTTGAAAATTTTATAAACCGCCATTACGGTTTGGTTTGTGGTTTGAGGGGTTAAACCGCCCAAACCGGACCGCAAACACCCCTATAAGATCTGTTGGCTACAAGTGTTATATATTTCAAGACAGATTCTTCACGGCCGTCAGACAATGTTGTAGTCAACATGCTTTCATGAGGAAAGTTCACATTGCTAAAATCCGATCCAACATCACACATGGCCAAATAACAAACCATTCAAACAAGGATGACAAAGAAAATATAATTTCAACTAAATACATACTTTTACCTTTTACAACCAACATAAACTACAATGTCCGAATTTGAATACTGCAAAATGGAGAATATTCAAGGCTGATATTGTGACAGGTTAACATCTCAATATTCGAACAGATTAATATCACTTAAATGTTAAATTAAGTTGGAGTTTTTAAAATGGTAAATAGTTGGCTTCAAAGATATACCTCAAAATCTCCAAAAACCAGTAGCTCAAAACATTATATGTGTAACAGAATTAAGAAAAACATAAGCGATAAAAGTGCAATGGTGATGGTGGTGTGTAGCAGCCGTATGTTCCATTTGTCGACGACCTCCTCAACAGGAACAGGAACAGAATCATCGTCGTTGAAGAAGAGCGGGCATAAGCTTCGATTTCATCGTCCTCAATCTCAACCGTTGGTCATGGAAACTGTGCAGGCCAAAGACGAATCTAGTGCTCCACCTCGACGTTTGATTTTGCTTCGCCACGCAAAGAGTTCATGGGAGGATCGATCCCTTAAAGGTATTACTATTATTTTGCCCTAGTTATTCCCATTTGTTATTACCCCATCCGTATAATCGGAAGGAAATTTGCACAAACGCTCTATATGCTGTTGTAACCCTATGCAACTACCAAAGTAACCAACTATGGTGATAACATCTAAAGGTCAACATCTTGAGTACCAAACAAAAGCCAAAAGGGTCAATTCTACCAGAACTAATGCTTTGAATTCACACCTAACTGTTTGCTCAAACTCTATTGCAAAGATTGGTTCTGCTAGATTCTCCCTGCCCCATGTTTGCAAGTTTTCCAAACCAACCTACTTGGCACATTTCATGTTGAAGTTCATATCGTTCTATTAACAATTAATTTTCAAATTGCACTTCAACTTATTTGAAAAACTATCTTACAAACACTTTATGATTTTATCTTGATCCCCAGGAGCTGAACCGTGCTGTCCCTTCTGTCCTTAGTAAGTTTGGTCTTTGAACTTGTAATTGGGAAATAATAGTATCTACTGAAGTATCGACTACGTAAATTTAAAGATTTTTATTTTGCGGTCCTTCAAATAGAATGCTGACTTTAGCTCTATATTACTAGAAATGAAGCCAGTTTCAAACCCCTTTCTTAGTTTTGTTTCCTTTCTTACTATGCACAGACCATGATCGTCCTCTGAGTAAAGCTGGAGAAACTGATGCTATACAAGTCACTTACAAGCTCCAACAGCTGGGTTGGATCCCTGGGCTTATTTTATCAAGGTAAGTATTTTCTGTAAATGTCAACATACTATTTTGATGCACAATGCTAGTTTCATCTAGTACTAGAGCCATAATTTGTATCTTAAATGGTAAACATTAAAGTGTTGTTGCTGATGTAGTGATGCAAGACGGACAAGGCAAACTCTTAAAATCATGCAGGACCAAGTGCAAGCCTTCTTGGAAGCTGAGATACACTTTATTTCAAGCTTTTATTCTGTTGCAGCAATGGATGGGCAGACAGCTGATCACCTCCAACAAGCTATCTGTAGATATGCTAGAGATGAGATACTTACAGTTATGTGAGTTTTGCTGACTGTAACAGCTTCTTTGGCCTTCTATTTTATAGGTGAGGAATTTGTGTGCATTTACCGCTCATCTTGAATACAACTAACCAAACCAGACCAAACGAGCCTAGTAAATCCCACGGAGGTTAGGTCTAGGGAGGGTAAACTAAACTAGCCCATTATACCTGACCTCTCCTGCAAACATCAGAGCGGTTGTCTCCGTGAAGACCCCGGCTTATGAAAAGTGTGTGAAAAAGAGAAAAAAAACAGGTTAGCCTAAAACTTGAAAAGCTGGACATAAATTAGCGATATCAATACAAAAAGAGGCAAGTATAGAAAATGTCAAATCTAACTACCAACTAACTAATTCTAACCCCTACCCTCTAAATCTCCAGCTCCCTTCCTCCTGTCTAGATCTCCACCCCTAGTCTGCTACTCTATTCCTGCATCTCGACGAACTTGTATCAGAGGTCATGTCCTCCGAAATGCCTAAAGCTGCTATGTCCAATCAATTGCTTATCTCATGTCCTTTGCGGCCTACCTCTTCTCCTCGCTCCTCTACCATCACACTTTCCACCCTCCTCACTAGAGCTGCCATCTCTCTCCTGCGAATATGACCAAACCACCACAATCTTTCCTTCCTCAACTTATAGGTGATAGGCACACTCCCAACACTGCCCGGAAGACCCCATTCAGTATCCTGTCAAACATAGTTCTACCATAGGTCCATCCAAGCATCCTTGTTTATGCAATTTCCATCTTCCTCTACTGGGCCTTCCTTATCGACCAACACTCTTGACTCGTACAGAAAAGCTGGTCTAATGGCTACTCTAGTTTTCCTTTCAGTTTAGCGGGACCTTCTTGTCCATTGTCATACAACACCCCCTTGGTAGCTCTCAATTTTAGCCACGCTCTATTTATACAATGAGTTATGTCATCCTCAAAGTTGCTCATTTCTGAATCATAGAGCCAGATACTTAAAGCTATCGTTTTGGGGTACCCTTTGGCCCCCGACGTTGACTTCCACCCCCCATCTATGCATTTCCCATTGAAAATTGCACCATGCATCTCCAATGCTACCCTCCAAGCTCCAATCTCATGTTCATTTCCACCTTCGACTCCGCTACGAGCACAATGTCATCTCACATATAAGCATATGTCATCCAAAATTAGTTGGGATAAGCTAAAGTGAAACCAAAAATAGGTGATGTGCATGAGCTCCACTCTAAAGTGCATTGGCTTGTACTTGATATCCATATATTTCATATCATATAATAGTGGATTGATTTTAATCGTTAGTTTAGACGTTTATGGAGTGATGATGATATGATATCCTCCCCAAGGCAAGGAAGGTTATGTGAATTTGTAGAGCTGTTTCAGGTGTATGGGACATAATAGAGGGTGGGAGGAGGCAGCCTCTACATTTTCTGGTGCCTCCATAGAACTGAAGACTTGCAATGCTGCGTTGCTTGAAGCTGCTGGCAAATCATGGGAAGAGGTTAAGCATTTTCATGTTTTTATTTCAATATCAATAGCTGTTTTAAAAGACTTTGATGATTGGGAAAGTGGTTTTGTAACCAAATGTTTAAAATTTTCTAGGCATTTCTTTTGGCGGGACATGGTGGGTGGAAGCTCCAGCAATTAGTGAAGCCAAATGGTATCCCCTAGGGCTGGGCCAAATTAAAGAGTACACCATAGCAATTAGCAAACAAACAGATAATATAAAATGGCCACTGAATTCCCTATAGTTGTTGTGGTGGTGGTTGTATTAAAGAGTAGTGGTTTGTTTGTTTTTTATCCATCAACAAATTAATGAACCAAATATAAATTATAACTTTGATCTTTTTCTTTTTATTGACACCATCAATTTCTCTCAACAAAACTGCCGTTCTATAAGTAACCAATTAACTTGCAGGCATTAACATGAATAAATATTCCATATTGAACTTATGTGAAGCCCGGTCCTTGCTTTATGGGTTTACTAGTGTGAGAACCGTGTCTTCAAATAATTTGAAAAAGTTACTCAAATCTAATTAGTGAAATTTTAATATTATATAATATAATATATATGCACACACACACATATACGAATATACCGAGAGAGGAGATGTTTTTAGGAATAAAGTTGTACAATTAAATAAAATGAATAATAATAACGACGAGAATATTAAGAAATTTGACACAACTCAAGAATATTCCACGTAAGGATATGTCTCCTTCAAATATTTCAACTTACACTGATGTAAGAAAATCAATTGAAAGAAACAAAAAAGAACCATATTTGAAAACTTAAAATAGACGATGAGTCAATCATAAGACATTGTAGAAATCTAACTTCAACCTTTTGTTTTCTTGCTTTGTTGTAAAAAGGAACCTATAGGGTTGTGTGGATTCACAATAAATTGAGCAACGAACACTTGCCAATCAAAAGATAACTCAAAAAAATCATGGCATAAGGAAAAAAAACTATCAGAAACATCAGAAAAAGTTCAGCCTAAAATATATTGTTTTAATACATAAAAAAAAAACCTAAAGAAAGCCCAAAAGATATTTGTATTATACATAACTAACCTCATAAAGCAGAACGATTACTTAGTGGAGAGAGAAGCGTAAGCGTCTTGTATGTCAAAAATAATGAACATCGACGGTTTACAAAAATCATATATGATTCACGTAACAAATCACATATGATCCAGACGACTTTACCCTGCAACTTAAGTGGCCTCAAAAGTCGGCCGCTTCAATTTAATGTAAAATCACATATGATTTTGTACATTAACGATCTTTTTTCTTGTTTTCTTAAATAATTAGCGTTCTCGTTTGAACCTTCCTCTATGTATGTATTAATATAAATAAAAATATATATTTTTTATATATTTGTGAATTTTAATTTTATTTAAAAAAAGATAAATATGATTGAATTTTTTTATTGAACCACCTCTTCATCTTATTT